AAAAAAAAAAAAAAAAAAAAAAAAAACTTATTTATGAGATATAAAAAATTTGAAGACTGGAAAATTTGTTATTATTTATCAGGCTCATGGAAATATTAATGGAGAATTGACCGACTGCTATTAAAAACAAAAAAGAAATAGAAAATAAAATAGAAAACTAATTAAATTCCGGAGATTCGTCACCACGAGGCTACGAATTACCAAAGAAAGGCGGCCGGTAGTCTTGAAAAAGGTTGCTGATACGATACACCGCTGAGTAAGGCTTCGGCGCTTCTCCCTTAGCGCATCTCCGTGTTACCTCGAGCTGGTTTCCATTGATCGTGAGTGTTCTTATTGTTCTGATTTGTATGAACTCCGATTTGTTCGAATTCTTGGTTCTTCTGCTTCTCGATGTCTAGTTGCTATCGATTTCTATCAATTTTGTCTATGAATTTCTCTTTCTTCATTTCTTTTCACCTCGAGTTTCTTCGCTAGGGTTTGATATTATGCATATAACAAATCCTTACGATTTTACTAATTATGATTTATTCTTGTATGGAGTTTTCTTTTTTCGTACCGGTTGCAGTTCGTCTGCCGGTAATTTTGCTGGTTTGAGAATTCTAGGCTTGAAGCAGCTTGTCTCGTCTGGGAGAATCTATAATGCAGGTTAGCCACTATACTTGGTTATGTATATATATATATTCATTCAACAAAATGAGTCTGCACGAAGGGATCCGACTACGAGTATGTAGAGGATTTTTGGGAGTGAGTCCCAGTTTGACCAATTTAGGGAATGATCATGGTTTTATAAGCAAAATAACTTTCCTTTGGTATGAGGCCTTTTGGGGAAGCCCAAAGCAAAGCCATGAGAGCTTATGCTCAAAGTAGACAATACCATATTATTGTGGAGAGGTGTGATTCCTAACATGGTATCAGAGTCATGCCCTAAACTTAGCCATGACAATAGAATCCTCAAATATCGAACAAAAAATTGTGAGCCTTGAAAGTGTAGTCAAAAGTGACTAAAGTGTCGAACAAAAAGTGTACTTTGTTTGAGGGCTCTAGAGAAAGGAGTTGAGTCTTGATTAAGGGGAGACTTATAGTGTACTTTGTTCAAGTTGAGGATTGTTGGGAGTGTGTTGCACATTGGCTAATTTAAAGAATGATCATGAGTTTATAAGTAAAGGAATACCTCTCCATTGGCATGAAGCCTTTTGGGGAAGCCTAAAGAAAAGCCATGAGAGCTTATGCTCAAATGGACAATATTATACCATTGTAGAGAGTCGTAATTCCTAACATGGTATCAGAGTCATGCCCTAAACTTAGTCATGACAATAGAATCCTCAAATATCGAACAAATAATTGTGACCTTTGAAGATATGGTCAAAAGTGACTAAAGTATCGAACAAAGGGTGTACTTTGTTCGAGGGCTCTAGAGAAAGGAGTCGAGCCTCGATTAAAGGGAGACTTATAGTGTACATTGTTTGAGCTGAGGATTGTTGGGAGTAAGTCCCACATTGGCTAATTTAGAGAATGATCATGGATTTATAAGTAAAGGAATACCTCTCCATTGGTATGAAGCCTTTTGGAAAAGCCTAAAGCAAAGCCATGAGAGATTATGCTCAAAGTGGACAATATCATATCATTGTGGAGAGTCGTGATTCCTAACAGAGTAAGGGTTCAGTCAAGTATCACGTCTGAACCTTTGATTTTGTGTAGGCGTCAAGAGCAAGGTTGTTCAAGGAGTACAAAGAGGTTCAAAGAGAAAAGGTAGCAGATCCAGATATTCAGTTGGTTTGTGACGATTCCAATATTTTTAAATGGATAGCGCTAATCAAGGTAACCCTCTCAATGATCCAGATGAAATATGTGGTTTCAGAGGTTTTTTTTTTTTTTTTTTTTTGCTTACCATGATTGATATGCATTTTTATTTAGGGACCATCAGAGACTCCTTTTGAAGGTGGTGTCTTCCAGCTTGCCTTATCCGTACCTGAGCAATACCCTTTGCAACCTCCTCAAGTGCGGTTCTTAACGAAGATTTTCCATCCAAATGTTCATTTTAAGGTAGAAGTTACCCTGGTCCTTTTTCTAGATCCTATGCTGACTATGAGCCTTTAGAAAGAAAGAAGAATACACCAAAATGTAGGTGCTTCACTATGCATTTGTGGTTCTTTCTTGTTGGAAGTGAATGCAATGAAAAGACCGATGTGAGCCGCGAGAGGGGTACTAAATTGAGGCAAACTCTGAATACTAGATATGATCTCAAAATAATAGGAGTTAAGGTTAGCCGGTGGGGATAAGCTTGATCGTGGGGGAGGAAAGGTCAGCGCTAGGGGAGGGGGTACTAATTTCCAAGGGAGAGTAGTGAGCAGCAGTATTTAGTTCGTTTTTTTAATTAGTTAACAAATACTGTTGAGCATCTATGGATGAAGGGGAATATGGTGGAGAATATATCGGAGAGGTAGGATGTGAGATCCCATAGAGGAACGAGTGTCAGCAAGGATGTTGGGCTCTGAAGGGGATGGATTACGAGATCCAACATCAGTTGGAGAGGACAACGAAACATTCTTTATAAGGGCATGGAAACCTCTCCCTAGCGGGCGCGTTTTAGAACCTTGAGGGAAAACCCCAAAGGAAAAGCTCAAAGAGGACAATATCTGTTAGCGGTGAAGGTACACGGGAGTTGCAATGATGCTAGCGGCCTCCACCACGGGAGAAGAGTTTACAACAAGCAACCGGGTAAAAAGGAAGTGAACTCAATAGAAAGGAAGCGACTGGGATTAGAAGTGGGAAGCTAGATATTTCGTGGACTGCTTTGTTCATATGAGAGGAGTTCTTGTTGCAGAGAATTCGGTGCATTAGTGAGCGGCAGTCTAAAGGGAGAGGGAGAGGTTTGGTGTGATTTTGATGGGAGGCTTGGATCCCGAAAGAGGGTGATGATCTGGTCACGGGACGAGTTGAGAACCCGAGTATTCCTTATTCCAACTTTTGCAGAAGGCCATACTCGGTGAAAATTCATAGCTCTCCGGCCACTGGCATATGAAGTGCTTGTGTAGCGCCATTGAGTGAAATATTATAAGTTGCATTCTTTGCTATGAACTATATTGATGAATGGTGATCATTCAAGTTCGCCGACCCCTTTTGTGATTGTAGTCTTATTTTACAGTGAACCTTATTTTTAATACACGAATCGAACCACACTTATACTTATCGATGTACGTCGTTCCTGCAGACGGGTGAGATCTGCCTAGACATATTGAAGAACGCATGGAGCCCAGCATGGACTCTGCAATCTGTTTGTAGGGCTATAATCGCTTTGATGGCTCATCCCGAACCTGATAGCCCGCTAAACTGTGATTCTGGTGAGTTTTCATGGATTCTTTATGATGAATTTTCCTGATTTATATGTTCATTTATTTGAATCTTTGTGATGGCGTGATAATGTAGCAAAGTAGTTTATTGATCTGAAAGCCGCTTCTGGTTGGCGATTGAATTAGTTCATCATTCCTAAACCATTCTTTTGGAGAATGATTTGCATAATAGTTAGAATAGATGCAAAAATTATGGGAAGAACACCGAGCTAATCGCTTGAGTCTATAGGCTACCTCTCCTCGATCAAACAAACTCTTAATTTCATAAGAGAATCAAGATCGTAGTTGCATCAGTTTGGCTCGGGTCTAGGCCGATACTGATGTAAACTAACGTATCAATTTATGAATATAAAACCCAATAAGACTAAACCAAGTTGATCAGCTAATGTTCAGTTGTATATTTTTAAATTGAATCGATTGATAATGCTCGAGATATTGGAGAATTTTATTCCTTAGGAAAGCGTTGTGCATTGTAAGCCAGCTTCAAGGTGGCAACTAGAATTCAATTTTTAATGATTAAGGCTCCGTTTGATAACTATTTAGTTTTAAGTTTTTGTTTAGTGTGCTTATTTTCTCGTAATTTCTTTAGAATGATTTTCGTCTTTCTGAAGGCAATATTTTGGTGAAAGTTGTGTTTATAAGCTAAATTTCCAAAAATAAAAAATCGAAAAAGCTCGAACTTAGGTATGGGGTGATTCAACTTAAGACCTTGGAGAGAATCTCCGAACATTCCAAGTACAACGGTATGTTTGGAGGTGAAATAACTAATGCCTGTTGCTAGGTTTCATAAACTTTTTTCGGGATCGAACTCCGGTAACACATATAAAACAACGCGAGTGATCTTCAATTCTTCTAACTGATTGTTTGGGTGTTTACAGGAAACCTTCTGCGTTCGGGCGATGTCCGAGGATATCAATCAATGGCAAGGATGTACACAAGGCTGGCTGCCATGCCCAAAAAGGGCTGACTTTCCATTGCTTCTTCCTTGTCAAACATTTGAATTTGAGGTTAGCTGTTGTCATCAAGGAGACCGTAGAATGTGTTAATGGCCATACCTACAAATTTGATAATCCAGACATCTTATGTAAAGTAAAGCACATTCCATCTTTTTTATTTTTATTTTTATTTTTATTTTTATTTTTATAGTTCACTATAATGTTTTGATAGTTCTGTCTTCAATATAAGAAATCAATACTTAATTAATAAAAAAATATAAGTGAATTGATTGTTTACCTAATTAATAAAAGTGATGAGTATAATTAAATAATGTCCATATAAAAATATTATTCTCTATTATTTAAAGTATTTATTATCAATGAAGAAAATCAATTTTGGAAAGAAGACCAAAATTAAATGAATTTCTAAATTGATTATCTTAATTCTAATTCCAAAAAAAGCATGTTTGTATTGTCGTTAATCTTAGAGTTTTAAAACGCTTCTCTATTAGGGAGAGGTTTCCACCCCTTGGAGGCCCAACATTATCATGCGTCTCTATTAGGGAGAGGTAACGCGTCTCTATTAGGGAGAGATTTCTACTCCTTGGGGCTCAACATCCTCGCTGACACATTGTTTGGTGTTTGACTTTGATATCATTTATAATAGTTATTGTCTGCTTTAACTTGTTATGTATACCTCACGATTTTAAAATGCATCTACTAGGGAGAAATCAATCTATCCATCAATTTTAGAAATTATACTCAAATTAGTGAGTCATTTTGGTTCAAATAGTGGTTAGCAGTTTGTGATGTGTGCGATAAATTCAAACTCGAAAAATAATAATTTAGCCACATTTGAGGAGGATTCGACTCCGACTTAGCCAATTTTGAAAGTTTATATGATTTTTGTATCGTACCTTTTAGCTTATTTATTTTCTTTCGATTTGGTTTAGGTGATTCTCTTTTTATTTTTATATGCATGGGCTTGTGCAACATCTCTGCGATAGCGTTACGACCAATTAATGACACTTCCCTAAAGCAACCAATTGAATTTGTCCAGATCAAAGAAAGGCGATCTATCGATTACATTCATCTCATAAATGAAAGCTAAGCTACACGACACCAACATAACTCCTAACGTAAAAGAGTAGCCAATGCACCTACGCTATTTTTATTCCTATAACGCTTGGACCCACGACAAACTCCTATAAAGCTTGGAGCCAAAACGGATACATTTTGCTTAAAGACAAAATTAGATCAAAGTTTACCGAGTAAAATTTATTTTGTATTGTCTAAATTCTCGATATACGTGCTTCTCGTAAACGTCCAAAATTGAGCTTAATCAATTAGACCGAATACGCAATTCCTTCCATCCCCCATTAATTATTTTTTTATATATTCTAAAGTGTTGTTTAAATTTTAGTTAAATTTTGAAAAATAAAAAATTTTAATGCAATTTTTATAGAAGGTTGGTGAGGTTAATATAACGGTTAACTTATTTATTTATAATTTCTTTATAATATATAAAAATTTTAAATAAAAACATAATTCAGCAATTAAAAAAATCAAAATTAAACTAAAATTAATGAAAAAGAGCTGCTATCATGCGTCTCCTTTACCCGATTATTCGGCTAAAAACGGAAAAAGAAAAAAGAAAAAACAGAAAACTAGGGCTTCAATAGTTGAATTCCACGGCCATTCGCAACCATATCGCGTGTTGAACACGAACCAATTACATCCCCTCCCGTATGTGCCAAGGCATCATTTTTTATCGTTTATAATACCGGCACATTGTTAAAAAAGAACAACCCCCACGCTCGTCAACCCGAGCGTGTAACACACTCTTGACTTTTAGGGTTTTGTTTTCCGATGTGATAACTGTTAAGGGATCCCCCAATTTTGCTTTCCACGTGGCAAAACATTATTGGCCACCGACCTCTTCTTTCTCATGTAAGTGATCTGGCATCCGGCATGAGCAGTTTTCTTACCGGAAAACCATCTTAGGATTAAAATATATATATATAATATATATACACACAAAATAGCCGTCAAAATATATTTTTATTAAAAATGGTAATTTTTCAAAATTATTATAATTAATTTTTTAAAAAACTTGAAGGATGACCCACGTTTCTATTCTAGCCGACAATCGCACAATTTTTAAGTCTCGGTCTTCGTTTATAATTAACCGTTTTGAAACGTTTATGAAGACTTAAATAGAAATGTTCCCGCTCTCGCCTCCAATCTCAATTTCGACAAATTATTAATCTATTATATATATATATATTAATTTAAAATATTTTTTAATAGATAATTTTCATTTTTGTTGGTATCTAATAAATAAAAATATAATATAATATTTGATACACATGTATAAGGTGAGTAGGATAGAACAAAGACTTTAGAATAGAGACGGAAACAGAGAGTATAATCTTCCTCCTGGGTTTCGTCACAATCTCTCCCTACTCTCTCCCAATCCTCTATTCAAACGAGAATTCTGTTCGAGGGCCCGGAATTTGGTGATGAAAAGGAAGATGGTAATGAGAATAAAATCCCCCTACCAACATTCTCTCTCTACAAAACAAAAAAACTTGTCTTGTTTTTTTGTTTCTCTCTCTTTCTCTTTCTCTCTCTTTCTCTCTCCCCTCAATGGGTTTTCTCTTTGATAGAGCTTCGAGCTTCAATTCTTCAATGGCGACTGACTAATTCCACCCTTCATTTCCAACAAAGCTTTCTTTCTCTCACAGTTTCATGGAGGATTGAATCAGAGCTCAGGCCAAACGACGCCGTTTTCCGATGCATTTCAGTAACCTCTTCGCTTCTTCTCTCTAATATATATATATATATATATATTCTCATCGTTTATTTATTTATTTATTTTTTTGGTCTTTTAATTTTAAATTCATTTATTTATGGCTGATTTTTTAGTTCTTAAATGTTCTTAATTTTTTTAATCTCGCAAAACCCTTGTTCTATTATTAGCTTATAAATTGTTAATTTACACTTAAATCAAATAATAATAATAATTTATATATATATATATTTAAATTAGGGTTTTCTTTTGTTCTAGTGTTATTTTATGTGTCAAAGCCAGTTCTTATATATCTAATCTCTATTTTTCTTTGTTAATTGACTGAATTTGACTATATATATATATATATATATGCATGCATGTATGTATAGGTAGTCTTACAGTTCTTCAATCCATACATAGAATTGATGGGAGAGAATCATGATCATCATGGGACTGATTCCAAGCCTGCAAAAAAATCCATTAAGATTGACTCTATATTAATCGATCTATTTAGCTCGGATTATAAATGCAATGATCAAAAGAGTGAATTTTTCTCCATTCAGAAGCGTTTACAGCTTATTTATAGAGATGTCTTAATTATTGAGCTATATTTGTTCCGTGTTTTACGAGCTTTGGGGTTAATGGGTATTTTTCGTTTTTTTGGATATATTGTGTTGTAAGGGAGGGAGCTCGAGATGCGGGGTAGGGATAGCCTATAACTTAGTTAAAAGGTTAAAGATTCGAATTTTCACGAATAGTATTTATTTTCTTTATTGAATCTATACGTGTAACAGCGGTTATTTATCTGATATGCACAAAAAGGATTTGAAGATGTGTTCGCCATTTGCTGATATTGATGATCTTCATAAGATGGATGAACGTATACTCTCGGTCCTGCCGGTGTATGATTCGAGTTTCGACGAGCAGCGAGGTGAAAGACGTTGGCAAGAGAGCTCTGATATGGCTGCAGATCAAGGTTTTATCTTTGATGGCTGTCAAGATGTAATCAATGGAAGAACAATGGCTGGTAATGCTTCTAATTCCAGTTGTGATCAGAAGGGAAAGAAACTTGAAGTTGCAGATAACTGTAATGGTAGGTTCTACTTGAATTTTCCTTTGACTAGGCCTCTCTCTCGTCTATTAGTATTTGTGAGATCTCATACGGTTGGAGAGGGAACGAAACATTCGTTATAAGGGTGTGGAAACCTCTCTATAGCTGACGCGGTTTAAAACTATGAGGCCGATGACGATATGTAATGAGCCAAAATGGATAATATTTGCTAGTAGTGGGCTTGGGGTGTTACAAATGTTATTAGAGCTAAACACGGGAGCAGTTTGTCAGCAAGGATGTTGGGCCCTCCAAGGGGGTGGATTATGAGATCCCACATTGGTTGGAGACATGAACAAAACATTCCTTATAAAAGTGTGAAAACCTCTCCTTAATAGATGCATTTTAAAATTGTGAGGCTGACGACAATATGTAACGGGTTAAAGTGGACATTATCTATTAGCGGTGGGTTTGGGCTGTTACAAATGGTATCAGAGCCATACACTGAATGAATTGTCAGCGAGGAAATTGGGTCTCCAAGGGGGTGGGTTATGAGATTTCACATCGACGGGAGAGGAAAACAAAACATTCCTTATAAGGATGTGGAAACCTGAAAAATTCCAAGCCCACCGCTAACCGATATTGTTCTCTTTCAGCTTTCCCCTTAAACAAATATTGTTCTCTTTCGGCTTTCCCCTCAAAGTTTTTAAAACGCGTCTGCTAGGGAAAGATTTTTACACACTGATAAAGAATGCTTCATTCTCATCTCTAACCGATGTGGGATCTCACAATCCACCATTCTTCGGAGCTCAGTGTTCTCGCTGACACTCATTCCCTTCTCCAATCAATGTGGGACTCTCAATCCACCCCACCGCTAGCAGATATTGTCCTCTTTGGATTTTCTCTTTCGGGTTTCCCCTCAAGGTTTTTAAAACGTATCTGCTTGGGAGAGATTTCCACCCCCTTAGTGGGATCTCACAAAACCTCTCCCCCCAGCAGGTGTGTTTTAAAACCGTGAGGCTGATGGCGATGTATAACAGGCCAAAACAAACAATATCTGCTAGCGGTGGGCTTGGCGTAGTTGCCAAACGGCAAAATATGTGTCTTTTAAATTGTATTTGTACCTATTAGTTACTTTTGTGTTTTGCCATAACCAAACTATTTTTGGTATCTGAAACAGTTGCTCTGATATCACAAACTGAGCCAGGTTGTGCAAGTCCTGAAGTTCATGAGATTGAGCCTGAGAAAAGCCTTGCAGATCATCTAAATGGACATTTAAGCATAGACCAAGAACATCATACTGCTAAACTTCAAGAAAATGGAGATGCTTCCATGGAATCCTTTGAAAGCAAAGTTTCATCATCCGAAAGTGCTGAATCAGTCGGAAACAGTCTTCATCGTTGTCGTTATCAAGGAACGTCGCGTCGTCGACGAGCCCCAAAGTTTCGTCTATTGACCGAATTGCTAGCAGAAAGTGAAAACATGAAAGCTAAACAACCTGAAAGTTCTCCATCCAATGTCACTCCCAAGGCATCACTGCAGGCAGCTCCGAAGTCCGTAAGGCCATCTCGAACAAGTAAGTATGCAGCCGATCGTGCTGCTATCTTAGCACATGACAACGAGTTTTCGAGCCGAAATTCACGGTCGACGTTGTTGAATGCCATGGAATCTAAATCTAGCACATCTAAGAATCCAAATTCAAGCAAGGAGTCTCTCAATAACTATGCCAATCCACAAAGGAGCCACAAACGAATCCGTCGTCGTCGTCGAGGAGAAAATGAGCTGCCATCCGACCGTGGGTCGTCCGATGACATCCCGATGGAAATCGTTGAACTAATGGCGAAGAATCAATACGAAAGGCGTATTTCTGATGCAGACAATCATATGCTTTGGCATAATGCTTCTGTTCATTCTCAAGAGGAATCATCAAATGGTTATGATATACAATCTTCTGAAGGATTCATAGATCATTTACCTGTTTCAGAACAGAACAAAGAACAAGCTTGTTCATGGTCTTCTTTTGAAGTACATAGCCACAAACTTGCAGAGAGTTCATTTCCTAGCCGTCCTAACGTGGTTGAGCGTCATCAAGATCGTGTCGATTCGAACGAGTTGTACTCGAACGAAACCATATCAGCAATGCACTTGCTTAGCCTCATGGATGCCAGGACTCCATCTAATGCACCCTTCCAGCTTAGTACAGGATTTGAAACCGATACCAATTTCTCCGGTCGGGCTGTCTCTAAGTCTCGAAATGGATCGAAAATGAAATGCTCAGCTCCATCTGCGTCGAGCAACGACCGAAAGCCGTTAACAGGAACTCTGAAGGACAAGACAAGCATTTCTGAGACTGAAACATGTAGTGTCAACAAAAATCCTGCAGATTTTAGCTTTTCTGAAGCAGGAAATACATACATGATTGGAGGTAGAAGTCCTGTTTCTAAGAACAGATCTAGCTCTGTTCGTTCCGATGATCGGTCCAAACGGCCGAGAATCGAGTAGCACGATACCGAAAGGCTACATGGATCAAATAGACACAGATAAATCTGGTGCAATCCTTCCTGGAAGGATGTTTGGACATATTTACAGCTTGTTTTGAGCAAATTTCTGCTAACTGAGCCATCCTTAGCATAGTAACAAGATCTTGGTGTCTTCATGGGCTATGGGGAAGGCTGCTAGAAATTCTGGCTTTTGTACTTCTAGTTTTTTATTTATAATATGTTCAGAGTATATTTGTAATTTGCAGATATTTATTCGCGTTGGCCTATTACGTATCGTCGTTATCCTCACGGTTTTAAAACGTGTCTACTTGGAAGAGGTTTCTACACCCTTATCAAGAATGTTTCGTTTCCCTCTCTAACTGATGTGCGATCTCAAAATTCATGTCTTTTGAGATCCACCATTCTCATTGGCACACTTCTGGTGCCTAGCTCTGGTATCATTTGTAATAGTCCAAGCCTACTGCTAACTGATATTGTCCGTTTTTGCCCGTTACATAGCATTATCAACTTCACGATTTTAAAAAGTGTCTGCTACGAAAGGAATTTTCACACCTTTAAAAAGAATGTTTCGTTTCCTCTCTAACTGACGTGAGATCTTACACTATTTGAAAATTTGAAATGATTTTTATTGAATGGTAAAAAAAAAAAAAAAATTCTAGACAAACCATTAACAATAACTTACCTTGCTTCAAACATAAATTTATGTCATAAGTGTTTTATTGAATATTCGATAATCAATAACATGCGATTAATAATCGATATGATACATTACACAATTTATGCACACGGAGTGGATCTCTTCAATTCTAGCGAATGCAAGGGTTGTCAACTCCACATCGTGATATTATGCATTTCTGATGCACACGTTGTGACTATACGTTCTTGAGGGTTGTTTGACTACGACGTGGCTGGTATAGTCATGACGCCTCGAAGACATTCGACTTGAAGCGCATGCCATAGTTCTGCATGAACACAACCTGGTTCAAAACCAAGGGTGTCAGACCTTAGGCTAAAAACAGATTCTCTACAAAGCTACCATGACTTGTCTACATTGGGGTCGAATTCGAGGATGTCTACCGTCTAGTTAAAACGCTAACAACCTAATGCCATTTACTAATTCTAACATAGTTTATGAATGTAGCGTTATCTCATCACTCTCGAGATTTGAATTGGTAATATAACAACTCAAACCCACTGCTAGCAAATATTGTCTTGTTTGTGTTTGGTTTCCCCTCAAAGTTTTAAAATGCGTTTATTAGGGAGAAGTTTCCACACTCTTATAAGTAATGCTTTGTTCCCCTTTTCAACCGATATGGGATTTCACAATCCACCCCCCTTGAGGGCCCGACGTCCCTACTGGCACATCGCCTAGTACCTAGCTCTAATACCATTTGTACCAGCCTAAGCCCACCATTAGCCGATATTGTCTTCTTTAGACTTGGTTTCCCCTCAAGGTTTTAAAGCATGTCTACTTGGGAGAAGTTTCTATGCCCTTATAAGGAATGTTTTGTTCTCTTCTCTAATCGATATGAGATCTCACAATCCACCTCCCTTGAAGGCCCAGTTTTGTTCTCTTCTCCAATCGATATGGGATCTCACAATCCACCCCCCTTTCTCCAATCGATATGGGATCTCACAATCCACCCCCCTTTCTCCAATCGATATGGGATCTCACAATCCACCCCCCTTGAAGGCCCAACATCCTCGCTAGCACATCGCCCGATGCCTAGCTCTAATACCATTTGTAACAGCCCAAGCCTATCGCTAACAAATATTGTTCTTTTTGGGCTTGGTTTCCCCTCAAGATTTTAAAACACGTCGGCTAAAGAGAGGTTTTCACATCCTTATAAGAAATAAAAAGATGTTTACACTAATTTGTAACCTTAGCTCGAGTTTTATCATATTACTAAACATCAACATCAATGGGAAATAAATTTACTAACCATCAAGGGAAAAGACAATGAAAGGATGCTAAAAATATTGCAACCATTCTTATGATGAAGGCAAGTTCCTATATTCAAAGTCTTCCATCTCATTTGGTTCCTTGTCTTGTCTCCCAAGAGCCCAACAACAAACAAGATATCCAAAAAAGTTTATCAAAGCCAATGCAGCACATAACCAGTAAAAGTAGTCCAAGTGACCCTTGTTGACATTGTTATCCAACCAGCTTGTCTTATTTCCTTCTCCTGTTATGCTATTTACCATCTGCACAATGATGCTTCCCACCAAGTTAGCTACAGCCATCTCAAAAGAGTATAGAGCAACCGCAACACTCGACAACATCTTCGGCATCTGCGAGTAGAAATACTCGACCTGTCCAACTGAGTTCAAAGCTTCAGCAACTCCCAGGACTACACATTGAGGCACCATCCATAGAGCTGACATGTTAATGACAGCATTGGGTTGGTCTTCAAAGCCTTGTTCTATGGCAACTCGACGCCTTATACATGCAACGCCTGCTGAAATTGCCATTGCGAAGCATGAGAGAAGCAGACCGATTCCAATTCTTAATTTGGGACTGAGTCCACCAGCATGGCCATATCTTGCAAGTAAAGGCACAAGTATTCGGTCATAAAACATGATCCATGAAAATAAAGAAAGGACCATGAAAATGGTGATGGATCCTGCAGGGATTTCGAAACTACGGGTTATGTGTCTGTTCATCGTCTTGGCTTGGATCGTTCCGAATGAATTTTGGTTTAAGCAGACAAGCATGAGAATGCCTGTTGACCACATTGGAATGATTCGCAGAAAAGCTTTGAGAGACTCAACTTGATCCACAGAACATAGGTTCCATGGATTGGACACTGAGCCATCTGGGTTTAAATTATTCTTAGCGTCTTTTATAAGACAGGCCTTATTCAGATACCTACACGAGGGAGAAAACTAGAAATTGTCAAGTATCAAAGTGTATATGGAATGAAGCAACAGTCATCAATCAAGAGTTGCTTAATGTTTTAGTGTTTGTTTTAAAAACTGGTTTCAACAGCTTTCAAATAGCTTGTAAAAGTTAATATTACAGTGCATTTGAGACACTATTCACAAACCTAAGATCTTTTTAACGAAAAAACAAACTATAACCGCCCAAATCTACCGCTAGTAAATATTGTCGTCTTTAGGCTTTTCCTTTCAGGGTTTCTCTCAAAGGTTTTAAAACCCGTCTACTAAGGAGAGATTTCCACACCCTTATAAGAAATGTTTCGTTCCCCTCTCCAACCGACGTGGGATCTCACAATCCACACTCTTGAGAGCCCAGTGTCTAGCTCTGATACCATTTGTAATAGCCTAAACCCACCGCTAGTAGATGTTGTCTTCTTTAGACTTTTCCTTTCGGGCTTCCTCTCAAGGTTTTAAAACGCGTCTACTAGGGAGAAGTTTCTACACCCTTATAAGAAATGTTTCGTTCCCCTCTCCAACCGATGTGAGATCTCACAATCCACCCTCTTGAGAGCTCAGCGTCCTCGCTAACACACTGCCCGGTGTCTGGCTCTGATATCATTTGTAACAGCCTAAACTCACCACTAGAAGATATTGTCCTTTTTAGGGTTTCCCTTTCGGTTTCCCCTCAAGGTTTAAAACATGTCTACTAGGGAAAGGTTTCCACACTTTTATAAGGAACGTTCCGTTCCCCTCTACAACCGATGTGGAATCTCACACAAACAAGTCATCTATGAATATGATTCAATGCTTAACAAAGTAATAATTCATTGAAAATGACAAAGTATAAAACGGGCATCCCAATTCCAAGGCAATGCATTAGACACCAGGACATAATTCTGAGCAGAAGAGTAATATGGATATTCATAAGATCATAACAACAGTGATAAGCATCATCCCGACTTACGTACCTCATAGAATTGGTCGGAATAGGACACTTCGGATCACAACCAAGGTAATACTGATCAAAGTTACTAAAAGGAAGCGACAATTTTCGGTTCTTAAATGCCACCACAATTACTCGTAAAAACCCAGTCAACAAACTCTGTGTTGGCTTCACTTTCACGTACAGAGAAGAACCCACTAGGAATATTAGCACAGAAAAAAGCATGAGAACTGCAGGAACTGCAAATCCAATTCCCCATCCAAATTTATCTTGAATGAACACAATTAGAGATAATGCAAAAATCGTCGCTATTCCAATCGATGCATAATACCAATTGAAGTAGGAATCCAAGACACTTTCGTTGTTGGGCTTTTCCTCCTTCGTGAGTTGGTCTGCACCAAAGGCTACAGAACATGGCCTAATGCAACCAGCTCCAATGGATATGAACACCAACGAAGAGAACAGTACAGCGAGCTGGTAAGGATTAGCAGAGTCGCATAATATTCCAGAGGGGCTACAAGATGCAGGTCTCAGTTGTGGAATTATTGCTGTTAACCACAAAAGAATCATCCCCTGAAGAAATAAGTACACTGTAAACACTATAATATACACCACATCAGTTGGGGAGGAGAATAGAACGAAGCATTGTTAATAATGGTGTGAAAACCTCTCCCTAGCAGACGCGTTTTAAAAACCTTGAGCGGAAGCCCAAAAAGGACAATATCTTCTAGCGGTGAGCTTGAGTTGTTACAAATAGTATCAAAGACAGAGACTGGGCGATGTGCCAGTGAGAAGGCTAAGCCCTGAAAGGGGTGGACATGAGGAGGTGCACCAACAAGGATGTCAGGCCCCGAAGGGAGGTGGATTGGGGGGTCCCACATTGATTGGAGAAGGAAATGAGTGCCAGCGAGGACGCCGGGCCCCAAAGGGAGGTGAATTGTGAGATCTCAGGTCGGTTGGGGAAACTTCTCCGAAACTGACGCGTTTTAAAAACCTTGAGGAGAAGCTCGAGAGGGAAAGCTCAAATAGGACAATAAGGCTTGGGCTCTTATAGATCAATGACACAATCAAGGGGATTAAGGCCCTGAGAATCGTTACTGTTCATTAGGGTTTCTCTTTAATAAGGCATCTTTCAGTATATCACCAAAGGATTCGATTCTATAACATTACCATACGACAGACTACAACATCAAGGGAATTGGAAACAGTTAATTTTCGATAATCAACGAGTCTTACAAGAAGGCTACTGCAGGATCCGAGAATTATAACACAGAAACGCCCCAAGTAAGAATCAGCAAGAACAGCGCCAACAATGGCTAAAGCATTGGAAGCAGCAGACCACAGAGACAGAATGATAGAAGCATCGGCGATTTGGAATCCGAAAACGTCCCTTAAGTAGAACACCATGTTAGGAG